AGATCTTGTAGCACCTTTGAGACTCACTGAAAGAAAGAAAGTTGGCAGTATGAGCTTTCGTAGACTCAAGTTTACTTCCTCAGATGCTGTTGTTGCTGTTGTGTGCCTTTAAGTCTTTTCTAACTCATGGCATCCTCAATATATGACATCCCTTCAAATATTTAAACAGGGCTATCAAGTCACACTCTCTCAGCTGCAGAGGATGGCAAAGGCAACTCCTCACCTCTGAAGAAAAGAAAACCCTGTGGCGACTTGAACCTTGGTCTCTAGAGTTATAATCCAATACTCAAACCATTATTGGTAGCCCCATGTTGCAGAAGTGCTGAATTCTATGAACCACCAATATTAAGATCAGTTACATCCCATACTTAGTTCCAACTGTTGAGTTGTTTGCAAAAATAAATGCAGTTTGGGGATACTTCCCCCCCCCAAAAAAGAAATAAGAAAACCACAGATGAAGAAATAGGATGGAATATATTTGAACCCGAAGACGTGACACAGACCTGCACAGATGGAGTTTTCCATCTTTTGTGTGAACATTTCTATGTATGTGTGCTACAGCCGTACACAAAGGGAATTTGAACCCTTTGCAACTGTTTCTAGGATACAGGTGCGGCAATTCAAAGTTGTATTTAGCAGTGTCTTTCGCTCTCGCTGCATACGCTCCACCACTTCAGAGCCAAAGAACACTTGTCAAAATAGGGATCATGGAAAGCAGGAACAGATGGGCGCTTCCTTGTCAAGGGGGCAAATACTCTCTTCTGGGTTCTAGATGAGTTTTTGAAAAGAGTGCTGAAGCCTATCCCTCCAAATGAATTCAGCACCTGGGTAGACCCTGTAAAGTTTGGATTAAATATCAGAATGGATGTGTCGTTCCCTGTGACATGGAAACTACCGGCTACCAGTCACGACTGGTGGAAAAAAGACATAGAAATGCATTTTAGATCATATGAGGGGAAACCTTCTTTTTCTGTCAAATGAATTCTTCTAGGGCAGAGATGGACAAAGAGAGCCAGTGTGGAGTAGTGGTTTGAGTGTTGGACTATGATTCTGGAGACCAGGGTTCGAACCCTGGCTTGGTCCACTGGGTGATCTTGGGCAAGTCACACTCTCTCAGCCTCAGAGGGTGGCAATGGCAAACCCACTCTGAAGAAACTTGCCAAGAAAACCCTGGCATAAGTTTGCTTTAGGGTCACCCTAAGTCGGAAATGACTTGAAGGCACACAACAACAACGACAACAATAACAACAACAAGGGTTGGGCAATGGTCAGAGGCTAGGATATGTCCTGCTTAAGGATTGCAAATGCCAAGGTAACTGCCAACATATAGCCTGCGAGAAATGACACAGGGTAAACCAGGTAGGTCCTCAGGCTTACACTGGGTTTCATCAAAAGTCTTGTCCAGGAAGTCCAGGGTCCAAAGGGGAAAAACAGTTTGTAGCAGAGTCTAAACCCAAGGAGGAGTTGCCAGAAAGATTACTCTGAGGTTCTCACCACAGATCAGAGATCCACAAAACCAGACATGCCAGATAGGTTTGCCAGGAAGTCTTGGATCTGTTGTCTGCAGCGGTGGAATGGCTTTGGCTGAGCTAGTTTATAGCCCAGTTGGCCTCATGATCTTAGCGTCTTCCATTGAAAGAGGAGCAGAGCCTTTCCTAACCTTTTGCTCCTGGTGTTTTAATTTACAGGGTGAAATCTCTTTCTGTCCTTCTCTTGGTCAGCAGACATTGCCTGGGATAGACCAGCTTCTGCCTCTGCATGTGGAAACCTAAGGTGAACCTATCACAGGGTTTTCTTGGCAAGATTTGCTCAGAGGAGGCTTGCCTTTGCCTTCCTCTGAGGCTGAGAAAGTGACTTGTCCAAGGTTTCCATGGCCAAGTGCATATTCGAACCCTGGTCTCTAGAGTCACTCAAACCACTACACCATACTGGTTCTCTTGAAAGCCTTGCATTATTCATGCCTTGTATCACTGCATTATTGAAATCTTGTCTCAGCCATACAAACCCACTGGGTGACCTTGGGCAAGTCACACTCTCTCAGCCTCAGAGGATGGCCATGGCCAAGCTCGTCTGAACAAATCTTGCCAAGAAAACCCTGTGAGAGGCTTGCCTTATGTTGAGAGGCTACAACATAAGTTGGAAACAACTTGAAGGCACACAACGACAACAAATGAGTGCACTATATTACTAGGTGGCCCACCTTTTGTCCCAAAGCTGGGACTCAAAGCAACAAATCTGCTCAAAGTCAGACTAAAACCCAGGGTCTTGACACAGAAGCTTACCAACTGCCTTGGCTTGAGAAGATGAGTCAGTGCTGCATGCTCTGAGCCAAGGTTATTCTTGCCATATCTATGGAAATGTTTGCGAGGTCCATGCCGTCCGGAGCATATGTGCGATGTGTCATTGCCCACTTGAGCTATTACTCGCCTCCGTCAATCAGGAAATTCTGATTGCTCGGGAACCATTATCCACCTGGATCCCATCTTTCTTTGTCAGCCGAGCCTCTCGGTGCTGCTTCTCCCCAATCTCTGGACAGCCAGAGCCTCATAAAATTAGGCCCACATGCTTCCAAAATAGAGAGGGGGAGGTGAGGAAGAGGGCAAAAATCAATCTCTTCTCTATTAATTTGGGTCCCTTCAGATTTATGGTTGTCTTTGGCATTGGCAGATCTGCGGCAATTGGCAACATCTCAAATAACCTTTTTAATTTTGAGATGGGTCAGAGGATAGGCTTGATGCGAGGATGCATGCGGTTGTTTTCCATTCCTGCTCCTGGCAGTTGGGAGGAAAAGGCTGATCTGGACACAGCTATGTGGACATCCAACACTGATCCATCTCAACCAGTATTGTCTACACTGATGCTCTGCAGCTGCATCCACACTGCAGAAATGATCCAGTCTGACGCCACTTTAACTGTCGTGCCTCAATGCTATGGGATCCTGGGAAGTGTTTTGGGAGACATTCCGCCTTCCCTGCCAGACAGCTCTGGGGCCACAACAAACTGCAAATCCCAGAAATCCATTGCATTGAGCCACAACAGTTCAACTGGTATCAAACTAGTTCATTTCTACAGTGCGGACGCAGCCAAAGAGCAACAAACTGGATTATTCTTGCAGTGTGGATGCAGCTTCTGTCCTTTACCACCTGGAGGAATCCTCCATAGGAGACAAGGGGCGCTGGTGGTTCCCATGTCCATTGAGTCATCCATCCGCTCTGGGTTTTAGTCTGAACTTTGAATGGGGTTCAAAAATGGCCACATTATTTGGGAACAGGGTTCCTTGCCATGCTTTTGGCCTGAAGTTTAAAGGAGCAACAAACAAAGGGCTGAAGCTATTTTTTTGCTGGAGGATGGCAAAGTGAAGGCCAAGAAAACCCCAGGATAGGTTCACCTTTGGGTTGCCATAAATCGGAAATGACTTGAAGGCACACAACGACAACAACAACAATGTGCAGATATGGGGGAGAAGGTTAGATTTGCTGGATTCCTTTTCTTCCATGAGAAGACCGGTGCGGTGCTGTGTGTAGCTGTAGCTTTCAATATGTTGTCCGACTACCACTCCCATCAGCCCCAGACAGCACAGTTGGGGAAGATGGGAGATGCAGTCCAACACCTTCTGCAGGGCTATAGCTCTCCATGGCTAGAAGAACCCCAGACTTGGATGAAATTTATATTACTACTCTTCCGCGAAACTTAAACTCTTTCTTTCTCTCTGGGAAAACAACAACAACAACGGAATCTCTGAAGGAAAGTCTGAGATTAAATAGAATCATTGTTTGGCTTTCCTGGTAATCATCATAATAAATACCCTATTAATGCTACACCGTAATAAACACACACACCCCACAACAACAAACACCCCCAGCCATTCCCTTGCAGATCATTATCATCCAACGTTTGAATGCCTTTGCAGCTTCTACCCACGGGGGCCCCTGAAAAAAGATGTATAGTTTGAAGCAACAATACGGCAATTCACATAATATAAACTCGGAGCAGAACGAGAAATGGGAAGTGAAAACCTCCTTGAAGCCCAGCCAGGATTAAATATTAAACTCCAATGGTTTAGACTTGTTTTTAACACCCGTTGGGTGTAGGCTGTGGTTGTCTTGCCATCCCTCCCAGGACTCTCTGAGTGGATCTAGACTGTAGAAATAATGCAGTTTGATACCACTTTAACTGCTTACAGAACCCCGGGATTCATAGTTTAGGGAGGGGCCAGCACTCTTGGGCAGAGATGGCTTGTGAGACTACAAATCCCAGGACTCCATGAGATGGGGCCACAGCAGTTAAAGTGGTGTCAAACTGTATTATTTCTGCAGTGTAGATGTAGCTGGGGTTTAACAATCACTCCTATTCACACCCTCCTCTGCCTCCAAGTTCCTCGGAGTGGCATTGCCGTCTTCCCTGCATTTTACCTTTACAACAGCCCTGTGAGGCAGGCCAAGTTGCAAGAAAAAATGACTGTCATCCCTCCTGAAAGCTTTATTGCAAAGGATTAATTATGAAAGATCTCCTCCTGAGGACAATGGTAGAAAGGAACCAAACAGGACAGGATGGAAAGACTACAGGAGGGAGGATCAGAGAGAAAGATCTGCAGCTTCATTCCATTTTTATCCCCCACGGCACACCAAAAAGGGCCTCCCCTTTCTTTTCCAGACTTCTTTTCGCCTCACTACTGCCTGGTGTCACCCCATCGGATGGTGTCGCCCGGTGCTGTCCACACCCCCTGCACCCCATGATGATGCCTCTGGATGGAAGTGCAAATCGGGGGCATCTGGGGGTTGGAGAATGGGGCAGAGGTGGTCCCTGAAGCCTCTGCATATGCCCACATTTGCCCTAACCACTGCATCACACTTCCAACAGGACATATGAAAGGGATCTAGGAGTCCTAGTAGACCACAAGTTGAACATGAGTCAACAGTGTGATGCAGCAGCTAAAAAGGCCAATGCGATTCTAGGCTGCATCAATAGAACTATAGTGTCTAGATCAAGGGAAGTAATAGTACCTCTGTATTCTGCTTTGTTACTGCATCTGGGTCTGGACACCACAATTCAAGAAGGATGTGAAGAAGCTGGAGCATTTCACCAAGATGGGGAAAAGTCTGGAAACCCCCAAGTGCTCTGAGGAGTGGCTTAAGGAGCCGGGGATGTTTAGCACAGAGAAGAGAAGGTTAAGAGGTGATATGAGAGCCCTGTTTAAGTATTTGGAGCGGTGTCATACTGAAGACGGAGCAATCTTGTTTTCTGCTGCTCCAGAGAATAGGACATGGAGTAATGGATGCAAACTGCAGGAAAAGAGATTCCCGCTCAGCATTAGGAAGACCTTCCTGGAAATAAGAGCTGTTCGACAGTGGAAGACGCTGCCTTGGAAAGTGGTGGAGTCTCCTTCATTGGAGGTTTTTAAACAGAGGCTGGATGGACATCTGTCAGGAGTGCTTTGATGGTCTCTTCCTGCCTGGCAGAATGGGGTTGGGATGGATGACCCTTGAGGTCCCTTCCAACTCTATGATTGCTCCCTCGCTTTGACCTACATCAGAGGATTCTGGCGGAGTCTCCTTTGGAGTTTTTTAAACTGGATGGCCCTCTATTGTGGGTGCTTTGATTGTGTCTTCCTGCATAGCCGAATGACCCTTGGGGTCCCTTCCAACTCTAGGATTCTAGAATGGGAATGAGGCTATGGGATGGATGTTGCTGCTCAGCCATACACCCTGCTTCCTCAAGGCCTGCATCTTGGCTCTAGACAGAAATCCAGATTTCCAAATTGTTCTCCTTTCTGTCCCTCCGGCTGTTTGCCCAGCCCTCAGCCCCATTGAACTCCCTTAAGGGGCAAAGGAAGGGAGGCAAACCATCCAACATCAGGGCCTGAGAACCAGCCTCCATCTGTTCTGGATGCCTCCCGGAGCCCCGCAGGCTAGTAAATAGTTCTTCCGAAAGGCCCGGCTCTTGCTTCCGACTGGCTTTTAGTTTCCCCGGGGGGACTTATAACCTTGGCAAAAAGATGGAGCTTTTATAGACCTCTGCTTCACGGCCGCCAAGGAGAAGCTCTTGGCTTCGGAGAGATATATTGAATAGAGCAGCAGAAAAG